CGTTTGAGGCGGCCATCGTCGTCGAGAATGGCAGAGTCGTTGATCGGAAGCATGGCCATGGTGGCAGCGGGCAGAAATAAGAAGCGTGTGGGAGTGGCACGCTTGGAGGGGGATTGGGGAAAGGGAGGGGAGGTGGTGGAGGGGAAAGGAGTGGAGCTCATTGTTTATATAAAGTTTCTAAAAAAAATCAGTGAAAAAAAGAAAAAAAAAAACTTAAAAAAAATGTACACAAAAATACACGTTTGAGAATGACCTGAAATAAGAGGAGTGAGGACCCCAAGCCTTCCATTATTACCCTCAAAATTTTAAAGTCAACAAGTCAACTTTTTTCTTTTTCTTTTTTCTCATTTTTTTTTTCTCTCTCTTTGTGTAAAAAAGTTGTTGGGTTGGTGGGAAAAATATCATTTCATTGTTATCCAAAGAAAAATTATCTCTTTTGTTAATCTTTTTTAGTATAATAATTACGGGTAGGAATGAAACCTTCCAATAGCTAAGTTGTATAATTTAAATTAAATATAGTAAAAATATGCCCTACATTTTTTTAATAAAACAATAATTATTAAAAAGTAATAATAATAATAATAATTATTAAAATATGGGATAAATTATACCTTTTATGTTGTTTCCAATTTTGAATATAATAGTTTAAAATTTAAATTTTAAAATTACAATAACTAAAATTAACTAAATTTGAAAGTATAGGAAAAAAATGAACATTTTAAATATAGAAGGATCAAAATGAACCAAAGCTAAAATAGACCAAAATAATATTTTAACCATTATTTTTTTTGGAAGAAATATTTTAACCATTAGTTATTATATAAAAATCCCTCTATTTGCATTTTCCTTATAGTAGTAAATTGTAAAACTTATTAGGAGTAAAATTGAAATAAATTATTTAAGGACAAATTGAAATTAACTCAATTATATTTCATTCCCTCTTTATTCCTAATGTTTTAGAAGTTTAAATTTTACTAAAACTTTTAGTTAGGTTGGTCATTTTACTAGAATTGTAAATGGAAGAGAATGTTTTCAAATGATTTAAGAAATATTGAGGATGGGTTGTGTTGGGGATGAAAATACCCTGGACACATGAAAGACCCCTATTGGTACTCCAAGGTGGCCCACGAGTCATGCCCAGCTCGGAGAGCCGAGATGGCAGCCACCAACGCCGACGAAAGCTTAAGTATGAGGGCCGAGGTGAACCTGGCCCAAGTCTGACCTACCAGAGAGCTCGGTAGGGGCCGATGTGAGCAACTGTCTGCGGCGTGATTGTCGGGCGTAACCGTCAGTCCCGAGATCACCGGGTGTAACCGATGGTCCCCAGATTACCGAGTGTAACCGTCGCGAGATTAGCGGGGCCATCACCCATAAGTAGAGGACCTCACTCCCCGATCAGGTACGATGATTTCTGGCTTGGAACTAAACTTGGAATCCGACCTATACTGACTTGATCGTCGGAGTGCTCACCTTTTTGTGCAGGTCCGCCCAAGTGTTCAGATCGGTACGGAGGCCGAGTTCGAGCTACAACCAGAAGTACACTGTTGTGCATATCCTTGCATAAACAGGTTGAAATTTTTAAAATGTTAAGGGCAAAATTGATACTAACTATACTTTTGTATGATTTAATTTAAGAAAGAGTATCTACTTAGTTTTTCCATTGCTATTCAAGTAATCTATAATTAATATGTTTTTAAAAATGATTATCTATGTTTTTTTTTTAAATATTGAATTTGTAATTATTTCTATGAAAATACACTCTTACAAATATTTTAAAAAATGAAGCTACTCTTCCAAATTATTCTATAGCATTCGGTTTTTTATATATGCATTTTAATATTTTGGAAATACAAAATTTTTCTCAAAAGTTTTCAATTAAATTCCTCAGCAATCCGTGATGTTTCGTGCATGGAAATTTCCGTCCAAGCAATCAGGCTTATCCCTTTTACGAGTCAGGTGACCTGCAAGACAAAGATGAGCACTCCGATGTCCAAGTCAGTGTTGGTCGGAAAGTGAATATTGTGTATTTAGAAGGGATTTGAACATACTTTGGTAACGGATTACCTATTCTTTGATCTTATAGTTGAGTAAAGGCAAATAGATTAATAAAGAAGACCAAGATTCTTTCTTACAGATCTGGTAGCCAGATTGGTGATGGCCACTGACCATGTTCAGTCTCTTATTTCGCATGTTGTTAATGGTAAGGCTAAGCAAGGTCGACATGGTTCATCCTTCATAGTCTAACATCACTAGGTCAACCTACCTTACTTGACTGCTCTCGACACGTGGCAGTCCATTTTTGTTACCCCGCAACACGTAAAATAGAATACAAAATAATATAGTTAATACACGATAATATATTTTCTAAAACTTTTTTGRAAATAAATATTGATATCTTTTAGATTAAATATCTACCTCATTTCTGTATAATTTAAAAATTCCAACTAATATTTCTCAAGAAGTATTTTCTGAAGACATATGACAACCCCAATAGTTAAAAATACCTATAAATATCACATCACAAATTTCATAACTGGTTTTTCAAACACTAAAAATGAAATTAAAATTTTTAAAATAATAGAGAAAAATAAAAATTTATTGTGGGAAAATGATGTATTTAGCTAAAATAGTATTAGAAGTGGTACTCCATTAGCAAGTGCAAGTTGGTAGGAGATGTTATATTCAGGAAAGGTATAATTAAGGACAGTAAAATGGCCCCATGAGAAATTATTTCTTTCTTTGACAAAATTCATTATATATTTCTAATTAAATTTTAAATTTTAAATATTATTTTTTTAGTTCAATAGATGGCGGATGGCAGACCTTTAATCTTAGAGGAGGTAATAAGTCTGTTTTATCCACTGAGCTACGATTGACTTGAATTTTAAAAGACTTAAGAGTCTCATTTGATAACTATTTCGTGTTTTTATTTTTTGTTTTTTAGAATTATACTTGTTTCCTCACAATTTATTTAGATGTTTAAACATTTTTCTCTTAGCCAAATTTTATAAGTAACATAAAGTTTTTAAAACGTACTTTTTTTTTATTATTATTATTTAGCTTTTAAATTTTAGCTTGGATTTTGAAAATGTTATAAAAAATATATGTAAAAATAAGAAAAAAAAATACATATTTGAAAGTAGTATTTACCCGCTTAATTTTTAAAAATAGAAAATTAAAAACCAAATAATCGTGCCTAAATGATTAGTAGTGAATTTCATAACGTACATTAATTTCTTTTTCTCATTTTTTATTTTTAGTACGTAGGGTGAGGATTCGAATTCACGACCTTTTTAGTTGAAAATAAATATCATAACCAGTTAAACTATACTCAGATTGATACATAAATTAATTTAATTTACAGAATCTTTGTATTTATTTAAAAATGATACGGATAATCGGCCGCCGTCCATTGTTGTTGGTTGAGAAAGAAAGGGCCAACAACAAAATCATTTAAAATAGACTAGGTAATGAACAAAATTGGAGCAATTAATTAAATTTTAATTTTCAAAATTTACTTGCATTAATTAAATAACGCACTTGAAAAGACTTGAGCGTTGTAATTATCACAAGTTCAAAATACTATATATATATCTTGCTTCATTCTGTAGTATATATTATATATAAATCTACTGTATTATTATGTAAATATGTAATAGTAACTTGATTTTTTTGAGAAGTTTGATATTGGTATGAAAAAATATATTAGGTATACATTTTGGTATAGGGACAACATCCATTAAACAACAACGAAGGATCAATTATGTAAATGTCAATAAATCGATATACATTTATGGACAATGGAACCAATATTTCGAGAAAGAAAATACATTGTTGAAAATATCAAATTAACCACCATAATAAACTGATTAAAATAATATCATGCGCCAAAGCGAGCATGACTCAACGGTATTTGACATATACCTCCAACCAAGAGSTTATGAGTTCGAATCACTTCCTCGACATGTTATACTTAAAAAAGAAATAAAAATAATAAAAATAACATCATGCCAAATGCATTAATTAAAGGAAAATTTTTCAAATAAAATAGAGGTTTTAAATTTTCATTAAAATAATTGCACCTTGGAAATTTTTTCCTCAAATCACACACAACCAATTGGCAATATTGTAAAGGAAACTAGAGTTACCAGAGATGTAAGAATCAAGTCAAAAGGTCCTAACAATACTTTAGAAAAATTTGCATAGTTGGGTTTTTAAATAGGACAAATGGCATTGGCCACCAACTTTTAAGGTTTTTTTTCTTTTTTTTTTTGGGATAAAATTTTTAGGTTTTTTAATTTACTAGAAAGATGAAGACCAAATTGAGAGGAAAGGTCAACAAGAATTTTAATAAAAGTCAAAGTAGGAAAGAGAGACCAAACTCCCTAATCAGAGATGTGAAAAGCAAGAAAAGACACCATATAAAATAAAGGTAAAAGAAAAAGATAAAGGTTGAAAGGATTGAGTGGACCTTTTTCTTACTTTTTTTGACACTTGGCTTCAAAATATTATATTTTTGCCCTCAAGTTTTACCCATATTTCATTTTAGTCCTTGAGATAATACAATTATGGTTTCCATACTATTTTTCTCACCATTTTAATTACTTTCAACTTTTTTATTTATTTATTTTGATTTCTATACTTTTAAAACGTCTATTTTGTGTCCTGTTCTTTTAAGAAGAGACAATTTTTGTCCCTCATCTCCATTTTAAGTCATTTCTTTAGATCATAATTTTAAAATGTAGTTATAATTTTTTTTAGTACAATATATGGAAGTGGTATGCCAAATACCGCTAAGCTATGTTCGCTTGGGCGTAAAATGTAGTTATAATAATTTGTCCTAGAGGATTTTCATTGTATATAATTGTGTTATCATTTTATAAATTAGGAACTAAATTAGTTACTTTTTAAAAGTAGAGTGACCAAAATGATACGATAACTAAAATAAATATTTTTAAAGTTAAGAACCAAAATAAACCAAAGTAAAAAGTAGAGAGAACAAAATAACGTTTAAACTTAAAATTCTTTACAAATCTGTCTCTGATTAGCTCTCGTGCTCCCAAGTAAATCATCAACAACTGCGGGAAGATGAGAGGGAATTTGAACAGTAAAGCATTAGTGAAACT